TTTTTCGCGACACATTACTAATTCAATTACTAAATTCAATTATTTTTATTTTCCAATATTATTACTAAATTTAAAAATTTTTTTGCGACAAACTACCAAATTCAAAAATTTTTTTGCGACAAATTACTAAATTCAAATTTATTATTATTTAATACAATTAAGCAATGATCGACAAAATTTTATAAAGACTTTACTATATAAAACTTCACTATATGATTATATCGAGAGTTTATATTAAAAATCATTATATCGAGCAGAATTTATATGTAATGAAACGGGAAATTTTCCAACTTCACTATATCATATGATTTACTATATAGTAGGTTCACTATATCGAGCACTGACTGTATTATTATTACATATTAATATTATTGTTAACTAAAAAATTGTTTCATTGTGGTTTGCTTCATTAAATATATTTTTTTTAAAATTAATGTATAGCTCAAGGGCATTAACTTGTCTTAATAGTTCTTTAGAATTTTCATATTTTATTTTTGGTTACTTTTATTAAACGTAATTTTAAAAAAAATTCGTGATCTTTTATCTTTTGTTTAATCCTTAATTTTTTTAATTTTGCGTATATATAATTTTCACCATTTGTGATTTTATCATTATTATTCTAATAACTCTTTCTCAATTAAAAAGAAAGAATTAGCAAACATTCATTTAATCCTTTATAAGCAACAGTAGCTTACTCAATCCATCACTAATATTAAAAAAAGAGGTAAGCAAAGATGATTGATGAATTAATTAATGTAACACGAATTTATTAGCAAATAAATCACGTGATAGTCACGAGCGTGCATTTAGAGAGGGTGGTTTTATATGAACGGGGATGGGGGAAGACCGTGCAGTGCAAAATATGGAGGGTGTGCATTTATCTCCAATCTCCGAGGTTGGGAATTAGACATAGCGTGTATTTATGGAGGGTGCACCTATGGAAGGTTCACTGTATTTGCCTAAAAAAAGTACCAACTTGTTTGTTGATCCGCAAACTAGATCAATGCTTTGTAATGAATATTCCATTATTTTAACAATTAACTTTTCTCCATGTGTATATGTATTATAGAAATATTCACTTTGTCTGGTTTGTTGTGGTTAACACACGAAAAATTTGCTCAATTTTTCCCCAAAATTCAGTTTATCAAAAGTTGTTGTTAAACTTTTTCGATTTGCAATTAGTGATTAACTGCATAGTTTAAAAACAGAGTTCCGAAATGAATCTCGTGTGACTTATATAATTGTTATATAACCATTACTAATGATGACATAATACTAACAATAACAACAAATTTTATCATATATACTACTTTTGGTGTTACATTTCAATTACTAATTCGCTAGAAAGGATTTTAATTGTCTTAACCCACATATGACATTGAAAGTTCTGTGATGATTGCATATCGTTCTACAACGAAATGATCCTTATTATCAATCATGTTAGCCATTAATTGGTTTCAACATATTTATTATATTTATTATAATATTTAAATGTTTTCCTTAAAATTAATTTGGAAATATCTCCGATTGCGAGTAACATAAATCTATCAAGTAAAAAAAAGACATAAACAAATATGCAGGAAAAAAAAATAGAAAAAATAATAATAAATACCATTACAAATGATATTTTTCGATTTAATAACTTTTTTTTCAATTTTTTAAAAATTCATTAAATATGTCACTCCCTTCTGCACAAAGAGTATTTCTTGAATCTATAGCATCGGCCGATCCAGAAGGACGTTTTGTAATCGTTGACGATATTCAAACATTTTATAAAATATCGGTTCCTCAACAAGAAGAGAAGAAAGAGGAATTACAACACGTTAATAACAACGACAACACAAATCCAGATAAACCTGTGATTTTATGTCTTCATCACATTTTAGGAGATTTATATGAATGGAAATATATCATGCAACCACTTGCTAATGCTACAGGTTGTCATGTAATAGCTTACGATAGGATATCTTTTGGTTTGACCGAAAGGCCAATACAATGGGAAAAAGACAAAAATCCTTACACACAAGAAGCTTTATGTGAATTTATATTGAAGTTTTTATCGTGTTTAGGATATGCTGATAAAAAGATTGTATTTGTTGGAGCATCTGCTGGTGGTGCAATAAGTTCTTATCTCTCAATAAAATATCCACATATTACTTTTGCTTTAATTCACGTTTGTCCTGCTATAAAAGTTGAAGATCAAGGTAAAAATTTCTTTACAAAAAAATTTTTGATTATATATAATTTATATATTTAATATTTAACATTTAATATTTTTTAGGTCCACCACCCATTGCATGTATGATTCTAGGATCATTTCTTGGAAAATTGGTTTTGAAATATTATCTATCCAGAGAGGTACCGTCCCGATTGTTATATTACGATGTAAAGTCGATTCCTGATTGGGAAACTGTGATCAGGCCTCATTATAGAGTACAGTTAACTTTACCAAATTTTTACGAAGCGTTTTCATTTCAATTAAAATATTTTACTCCACTTGAAATTCTACCACATAAAAATGTATTACAAAAAATTTCAACTTTATTCATAGTAGGAAGTGATGACAAATATACAACATGCGATGCACATAAAAAGGTATTTGAAGAAATCGAATCGAATTCACCTTCTGATTCGATCTTGGAATTTAAAGTATTAACACAATGTGCACATTTACCTCACGAAGAAAAACCTCAAGAAGTTTTACAATTAATAATCGATTTCTTGGGAAAACTTGGAATCTAATATTTATTACTATTATTATATTTATTCGTTATTATTTATCTTAGAATTTAATATTTAATTTATTAATTAGTTATTATTTATTTTTTGAAGTTATAACAATTACAAATTAGTAACTAGAAATTTTGATTATTTGCATAATGCGTTACTCGTACATAAACAATTTAAGAAAAAAAAAATATATACTATTTATTTTCTCTTGTCTATTACTTTACAAGTATTATAAGTATTATCGTTTTGATTTTTAAAAATAAAAATAAATGTCTATAATGTACTTTCTCCGTTTGAATTTGGTTATCGTTCATTGCTTTTATTAATTTACATATTATAAGCCAATAAAGCAAATGTAATGCTTCAGCTTTAGTTTTAACCAACCTCTTTGTTTAAAAGTCAGTCACCTGTAATAAAAATTATCAAAAAGAATAACAATTTGATAAAAGTCTTGTCTTTATACTCAAGATCCATGTACTGTTGTTACTTTTTCCATATATTGTTGCACAAAAAGTTTTGTATATTTTATTAGTATCGATAATTATATCAAATTAAAGCTTGGAACTTTAGAAATCTAATAAATGTAAAATGTTTGCATTTTATGCATGCCATTTATATTTTTTCATCTTGTCTCAAGGAACGAAGGTTGAAATTAAACCTTTAAAATACTGTGTATAGATAGAGTTGTCGGTAGAAAATTAATTGAAGTTTGAAGACTTTCAAAAGCTTTATCAATAAAAAAAAAATTTTATTCTGAATTTGGAATTTGTTTTTTTCATGTCTTTATAATATGCATAGAGACTCGTTAACAGTAGTGTAATTATTTAACGAAATATAAAAATAAAAATAAAAGTAACCGTTAACAAAATACAACATTGGTATCAGAAATCGCTTTACAAAATGCGCTATATTTCAAAATTGTTAGTAAACACAATAAAACAAATGCTTTAAATATCACAACTTTGACTGCAAAATGTCACCCAAAATTTTTTAATATAAAAGAAAAAGAACCTCATTTTCCAGTTAATGCTACCATTAACGGAATTGATGGTTATTTTTTAAACGACTAAAGCTTCTGAAGTATAACAGCTACAGCCAAGATAAAAAATTGACGCAATATAAAAGTACTATTACACGCGGTTTTGACATTTATATAAAATTCTGCTCGTTTTAAATTAATTTATTATTCCTGTTTTTAAAGCAAATCTGTTAGAGGTGTTAACTTTATTCCCGAGGATTGTGTAACTATAAGTGAACATCTCTCTTATTGAAATAATTGTACGGCTGTGTTGAGTGGGCTTTGTGATTCAAAGAATCGATTGGCCATATTTTTCAAATTGAATATTCAAAGTGTGAAGTAGAAAATTCATTATGTGCTTTGGAAATCCTTCAATGCCTTTGTCCAAGTGACGCTTTGTCTATAAATAGTTCGTCCAATATACTTAATAAGTCTATTGGTGACTTAAAAAAAAACAAACTTGTATAATAATAATTTAATAAATAATAATAACAATAATTTAATAAGTGATCTGCAGCATGCGCGTGTTAACCAAATTTGGTTAGACAGCAAATTCCGCATACTGAATTTTATTGATTGGCAAAAATGATTTTTTGGATTAACTCTTCAGAATGTAATAGTAATAGTTAATAAGTTATTAAGTGTATATGTAGGGTTAAAAATTCCCATCACTAGTAGTATTCAGGCGCGTGTAACATTATCATCCAATCAAATTTTTGAATTTCTGAAGATAGTTTCTAAATTTTTACACAACTGATGATAATTGGATTGATCCACTTGTAGCAATCTTTATTACTGCCGAGTAATAATAAAATAATGAATAAATTCGTTGAATTATCATTTGAAGTGTTTGGTAATGTTCAAGGAGTGTTTTTTAGAAAATATACAAAGGATAAAGCAACAGAATTAGGAATTGTTGGATGGGTAAAAAATACAAGTAAATTATAATTTATTTTTAATAATATATATTTTTTTTTTACAACAATTGTAATTAATTAATTAAATTTGTAATTTATTCATTTAGATAAAGGAACCGTAGTCGGAGTTGCTCAAGGAAAGAATGAAAAAATAATTAGTTTGTAAGTGAATAAATAATAATTCTGATAATGACAATAATGATGATATACCAATAATTTTCAATAATTAATTAATAATTAATTGATTAAAAGAAAGGATTGGTTAAGCAATGTGGGTTCTCCTTATTCGCATATTGAAAGAACAGATTATAGTGAAAGAAATATCGAATTTATTGGATTTACAGAATTTGAAATCAAACATTAGCACGAATTTTAAATTACTATTATTATTACTATTATTATTATTATTACTATTATTATTATTATTATTATTATTATTATTACTATTATTATTATTATTGTATGCAACAAATGGTTACGAGATAAATATTTCAGGCTTAAAATTCCAAATAACCAATTAAAGAATGAATAATAATAATAATAATGTGGTCATGATCTTGACCTCACCATGTTTTAATTATTCAATATCCTCCATATAGCATTAGTCTAACAAAATCAAAAACTATAGATTCAATAAGAATTTAGTACTTTCCGTTTCTTGGGTTGAAATTCTTGTTATTATTGACATATAAATTGATAAGTTCAACAACTTCTTCAACCCTCATATCAAATTCTTCTCAAGTGCTGCGGATTAAATCTGTATATTTTATATTTTTTAGTAAGCCCAACTTACTTTCCATAACTTAGTTATACTAACAAATCCAAGGCTTCTACAACATTTTTTTCCATGATCGTTTGGACCCTTGCTAGGTTTCCCATTCATTTTTTTTTTTATAATAAGGACTTCCTTGCTAGAAGATCCTTCCTTTAATTTAGTGATTAACAACAACTCTTTACCTAAATTTCTAGGTCTATTGAAATCACAAACAAATTCTTGAGAATTTGGTATTCTTTTAGCATCTCAATAATGCTTCTCTTTCCCGATCTCTCTGCACGAAGCTAACATGGTGGACTTTCTCTGTGAATGAATATTCATTGACAATGTAAACTTTTACTATAAGATATGTTGAGGCAGCAGGAATATTCTATATATATATATATATATATATATATATATATATAATCTGTGAAATTGAGAGAAATATTTATCTGTTGAAACTTGCTATATATGTACCTAGATTATATATAATATAAACTTTACTTAGTTCATTCAACACATTCGCTATTACGCCGCTATGATGCTCATACCTCCTTTTGGTCCAGTACTCCTTTACACTGTTTAGGACTATAAAATACTTTATAGTATTAATTACTTGATTATTTATTAAGCAGCAATAAAAATATATTAATTAATATTTAAATTTAAAGGATAATTTTCTGCTCTTTTGATTATTTTTAAAATGTTTTTGATACAATGTAAAGTTTTCACTATATCAATCAATTACTGAATTATAAGAAGTTCCATCGTTTAAATCAGGAATTTTTAAACTAATTTTCCGTGTTGATTATTCTATTTAATACTAAGATTCCTCTTCAATATACCGTATTACCATAAATGTTAGTTAAATTGTATTTTATAAAGTTAAAAAAACGTGTATCAATTTTATACCAATATTTCAAGAAATTGTAATGACGTCATAGTTAATAATAAACTCAATATTTATTTATTTTTTTATCTATAATGAATGATAATATCCTTGGGATCACTAAATAACCCTTTTTAAAAATTATTATGGAAAGAGTACCATCAATAATACTACCTTTTGAAAATTGTTTTATGAAAACGAGGATTACTTAAATAAGTAATAATGATAGTAATAGTAATAATAGCAATAATGGTAATAGTAACAATAGTAGCAGTAATAGTAATTAATGGATCAGATTCATCAAAAGAAGAAGAAGGCAGTGATTATAAATTGTTATTATTATTATTATTATTACTTTCTTGTTCATCTCTTTATTCATTTTCACTTACTCCTTCCATAAAGATTCAATAACGACAAGGCCTGCTTCTGCTATTCTTCCTGTATTTTACATTCCTCCTACTCTTACTACTCCTTTAAGAGTTACTGAATATGCTCAAATCACCAGCCGTAATTAATTCAACCTACGTCGGTCTTATAAAAGAAATTAAGAAAAAACCGCATATTAAAAACATGAATAAAGAGTCGGCAAAAAGATCATGCGAACGCAAATTGAACGAAATCGTTATACTTTATAGAATCATTAATTATTTACAAAGACGAATTCCAGAATGCGAAGCAAGAAACAATAAATCAAAATTCAATAAAATGAAAGAATGATTGTAATCGTTGAAATAATAAAGCAAAATAATAATAATGGTGATGATGATAACATTGATTGTTACGATTTCAGCAGAAACGTCGATAGTAATGATGTTGGAAAAGATAATAGTGGAAATTGATGGTAAAGTTAAGGTAGAGGTTATAAATGTTGATTGATTGATAATATTCTTTAATATATTTCATAGCTATCAGAATTAAGCTATGATTTTTTATCCACCCCAAGCTTTTATTTTCTTTACTTTTTCTCATTTCTTTTGCAATTGCGGCAATATAGCTTCAACCATTAATAATTCTTCTCACCATTACTGCCAACAATGTGATCATATTAATATGTGAGAATTACAAAGTGAATATAACATAGCAAAAAATTTTCCAGAATCTTTTTCATGATACTTTTACTGCATGAGTATTGGTCCATTTATCACTTTTTTTGAATGCACGTATAGATGGTAAGAATTGTTGTTGTTTTTTTAAAAAAAAAAACTAATTTCATCATCAAACTCTGAAATTCTGCTAAAGGTGATTGCCTGTTTCCTTTTGTCTTGAAGAAGCAAATCTCATCTAAAATTCTAGACTTAAAACAATACAAATACTTTGTTGTATATACCAGCAAATAAATACTTTTTGTTTGGCAAACAATTTTTTATTACGTGCAAAAAATTTGAAATTTTTTTGTAGTTTTTTTTTCCTTAATTCAATAATAAAGTGTGAGCTTTTTTATAGCATGATTGAGCAGAATTGCAATCGTAAAGGATTTAAAGCAGTAAAGTAGGCAATAATCATCGGCAATTTTGAATCATTATCCCAGGGACCATCCAAAAACAAAAAAAAATTTTAATTATACAATAGTTGTTCGCCCTTCTTAGTAAATGACCTCTGTAATTCCATAATTATTTTTCATAGTTGCCTCTGTGATTATTTGAATTCTTCAAGTCAAATGGCATACTAATATATAGTTATTTTATGTTCATTCATGTAAAGATTGTTGAGAATCCGTAATTATTACCTTTCCTCCAAAAAAAAAAAAAAAAAAAAAAAATCATGGCAAACAACTATGAATCTGACATTTGTAAATGCTGCGCCCTCCATAAATGCATGTAATCCCGATTTCTTGCATTTTTTGCATTGGTTTCTTCAACATCATCCGTTAAAATATGCTATTGATAATATTGCATCCATTTTTATATATTATTAATTTATTAATTTAAATTATAATATTTATTGCAAAAGAAAAACATGCTTGTCTTGGAGGTGTGGAATTTTATTTTAAAATTTAAAATTCTTAATACTCTGAACTAATGTAATTTCTTTGTATATAACAAAAAATTGAAAACGGATGATGACCATTATTGAATTTAAAAAATCTTGTATATGTATCGATAAAAAAAAATTTAAAAATTATGCAAATTATTTGAATTTCATTATAATACAACTTGCAAAAAGCATCGGTTATCTTATTGTTCCTTCATCATTTTCAACATTTTACGACCTTTCTTATGATCATCAGGTGTTCTACCAACACGACTTTGGGGTCCTAATTGTTTTTTCGTTACAAAATTCCAAAGTAACATAACCCATGACGTGTGATATGATAAAGTGTCATAATACTCTGATGCAATTTTACGGACTTGGGGTAGATTTGTCCATGGAACCTGAATAAACAGGATTCAATGTTTAATTTCAATTAATATTAAAATATTATCAATAAATAGATTAAATAAATTAATAAATTAATATTATCTCCTACCTACTTTTACAAAATCATGATGCTCGTTATGATACCCAATATTTATCAAGACTATGTTTAAACACCCATAATAAGAATAAGTTTCTTGACCATCTTCAAAGGTATAATGCTCCTGGATGAAATGAGCAGCAGCAGGATGTGCACCAAAACCAAACCATAATGATAAAACCAAATACATTAAACCTCTAAATCCACAATACTTGTAAATCATAATATTTGTTGTAATTGTAAACACCCAATTAACGTATTCCCAAAAACTTGGACTTTTCTGCATAGCCAATCCTCTGATGACATACATGATAGGATAAATATTTAACCAAAGAAATTTTAAAAATGCATTGCCACGAATCATTTTCTTTTCCCATTCCAAAGGCAGATCAGGATCTGAACCCAAAACACCTTGATATGTGTGATGTTCAAGATGATAACGACGAAATGACATTGCTATAGGAAATGGTAAACCAATATTTGCAATCAAACCTATTATACGATTTTGGAGAACTGTTGGAGCTATAAGACAATGACATGCCTCATGAATAACTACGCCAAAAAGTTGGGAAATGAATGCCCCAACAAAATAACCATAAAGCAACATTGTCAAATTCCAATCTATCAAAATCTTTCCAAACACATAAGCTGCCATCACTTGCATAAAACATGCTACAATTGTTAAAGGTAATGTTCTGAGATCGTATCCATATAATTTTTCGATTTCCGGGTATTTTTTTATTATTGTTACTTTTCTTTTCATATGAGGCTCGTCCATATCATCTATTGCAATATCATCATCAATATACGGAATGGATTTCTTCCAAGTACCAAGGTAAAGTGGTTGTCGATAATCTGGGTTATCCTTTTCTTTGGCTGGTAAAGGGATATCTTTCGACCTCTTTGTATATAACGACATCACAATTTATATATAAATTAATCCTTAAATAATTAATTGATAATTAAAAATATCAAAGATAGTAAACTGTTTTGTAATTTTAAGTGGTAATTGACATAAATAATGATGGATGATGGATGTCTCCAGTGTTATAAAATTCGACTGTGCCGTGTAGATAATTTACAAATTCGGTTGGATCACGCCACTTGCATCTGAATCAATCTTTTTTTTTCCCAAATTAAAAATGTGATGGTTTGTGTAATCAAATAAAACTGCTGCACTCAAAGGAGTTGCTAATACTTTAGTTAAAAAAAAATGGGTACTGTTTCTAAACCAAAAATATCTGTATAAAGAATTACACGTAG